ATCCTGGGGGCAGGTAGGTGCTACCTGATCCCCTATGCCAGCTGTGGGAGTCTGGCACCATCCTCATCTGGAACCTCTTTCCCTGGGATGGGGCATCAGCAGGCAGCAAGGCCACTTGGTTCCCCAGGACCCCTGTAGACACATCCCTGCTGCCCAGCTGGCATGTGCCTGCAGAGAGGGGCAGCTGAGAGCCCCACACCCCCACATCCATGAGGACTTGGGATGTGGGGGGCATTGGTTCCCCTCTGCATGGCCCAGAGAGCCCATGGAGAAGGGGACGGTAGAAAAGGAGTGTCTACAAAAACCCCACCAAGGGAACGATGGTCTACATCTTCACTTGGAAACTCTTCCTTCCCAGGGACACTTGCTGGTGTCTTCCAAGCTGGGGGTGAGTCTTGCCTTTGCCTGGTGCTAAGCTCACAGCAAGCCCAGTGCCTGCAACTCAGCAGAGAGAGGCGCAGTGCTGTGTGTGAGCCCAACACAGCCGAGACATGTAGCACCTGGATGTAACTCAACTAATGAAGGAAGCATCTCTACTCTGAGCTAAGAAACTGCCCTGTACAGCTAGTGCAGTCCTGTGCAAAGGCAAGCAGGGAAACACAACAGCCACAGCTGAGCAAGCTCCCTGCAGCTGCAGCAGGAAGCAGCCGCAAATGTGCCCTGGTTTGAAGTGGCCCAGCTGTTTCCAAAGGGTCTAAACTACCTAAAAAAAAAAACCAACCATGCTTGGTAAAAGAGACAGCAAAATGGTGGGAAATGGCATCATGTCTCCGAGGAGCAGTGATGGAGGTGGGAGGGAGTCTGGAGGTGGTTGGTGGGACTTCCCCTGGTTCCCACCTTAGCTGGTGACGGGTACAAGTGCAGGCAGCCTTCGGGCTGAAGACGACTTTTCACTAAAACATTTTGGTTTTAAATAAAGGAGACTGGTCTGTGGCAAACTGCTTTGTGGGGTTATCTTACTTGTACCTGTGCAGAAACATCCTTAAGCTGGAAAACAGGAGCAGGGAGACAAGAGCAGCCACGCCAGGGCTCCTTGCACCTGGAGGAGGGCAGCAGGAGCAGGTATTTCCCCACAGCAACCCAGGCTCTTCACTGCCTCCACGTGCTTTCTTCCCTGAGGGTGCCCCGAGCCACCCTCAAGGATGCGACACGTGGGAAGAATCCATCAGGCACAGACACCCAGGTTTTCACACTTTTATTGTAAAGCTTTAGGAAGGGCTAATTACAATGGAGTTGGTCATCTGACAGCTCAGCAAACAAACAGAACAGGAGAGAACGGAAAGGGGATCACGACAGTGTCATGCTCACTGCTCTGAACAGAAAGAATTACAAGGGAATCAATTGTGCTCACAGCGCCCGGGGAAAACCAAGCCCAAGGCCCAAAGCCTTCCCCGCACAGGGAAATGCATCACACATTGAGAGCAATACAACCTTAGCAAGAGGCATTGCCTTAGACATAGGTCACCATCTGAAAAATAGTTGGGTACTTTACTCTGCCATAGGATTTCTCCTTTAGAAAAGCTACACCTGCATGTACATAAAACTGTACAAAAAACAAGGCATCACAAGCAAGGAAATGAAATCTCGTATAAATAGAACCAACACTGAAGAGCTACAAAGGGGTCGCTTAGATCCTTCCCACGCAGCCCGCCTGCTCCCTGGCTCCCACCTTTGGTTTTACCCCTGGCTTGTCCTAGTGCAGTGTGAGATACAGTGAACCCCTCCGCAGAGGCGTCGAACCCCCCTCCTCTTCCCTGTGCTTGTCTAGACTGGAGCCCGTGGGGAGCTTCCCCTCCCACGTGCACAGAGGCTTTATCCTTCTGGCTTATAATTGTGCAAATGAGCTTCTTTCTGACAGCACCTCTTCTTCACCCTCCCCTAGGACTGATCCCCAGTGACACTGTCAACTTCACCCCGGGACAAATCCCCAGCTCCCCGTCTCCCAGAACCGATGTCCAGTGCCTTCTCCTCCCCAGGGACCCACCCCCGCTGCACCCCACATAGCCTCCCACCCCATCGCACCCCACCGAGGACCCACTCCCACTGCCCCCTCTGTTCTTCCCCACAGACCCACCCTCACCCCCCCAATGCTCCCCCAGACACCCATCCCCTCTCCATCCCCCAGATACCCATGCCCTCTCCCCACTGTGCTCCCCTCCATAGACCCAGCCCCACCATCCCTCTGTGCACCTCCACGAGACTCATCCCCCCCCCCCCCCCCGGGCCCCCCCCCTGCCCC